CGTCGAAAAAAAAAAAAAAACAAAATATTATAACAAATGAACCGAATTGCGCCGCTCATATAAAAAAGCCGAATTAACACCAAACTAAAACTTTCTACTCTAAAATAACCAAAAAGAACTACACCAAATTTCACGATTCCACTCGAGTTTTTAGTTTCAGCTCAGTTTTGCTCACCCTACATTCAACAACAATTTCACCCCAACATTGAAGCCAGTCCTTAACATCCCAACCACTTTCCTAGATTGTCGGAAGCCAAATTTTGAACATTAATGAATTAGGTTATTAGGTGAAATATGAAATGAAAGGGAGCCAATCCCCATCATTTTCACTCGCTCCAACAATCGAAAACGATGGTCCAAACATTAAAAACCAAAAAATTTTAAGTCATCATAAAAATTAGGAGCTTTGATCTTTATGTGTGTCACGAGATGTTAGAGACACCAAAACCACAAGAAATTGTCCTCTTACATACGTTAAAAAGTTGCACGTACCCTTTGACTTTGCTCGTTCATGCATCAAGCTAGTATTAAATATTATTTTTTTATTCCTATATTTTGATATCTTATTTTTTTATTTATTTTAGTGCATTAAATTAGAAACCTACTCTGGTTTCTATGTGCATCATCTTCCAACTAAATCTTGGAATTAGATTTAGGCTCACGCAAGCTATTTTTGTCTGCTTTTGAAAGGTCAATAATTGTGATTTGCCCTTATCTTTGCATAATGGATTGTCTAGTGAACCCCATGACTTTAAACAATATAAGGGTTAATCTGAAATTAAAGCTGAGGTACCTTATTAACTTAAAATTTAAAAATTAATCTTGGTCTTCTGTCATGGTAGGCACGAGTTGATATTCATATACTCATCAATTAATGTTTAGGGAGATTAAATATACCAGTTACGGTTGGTATGTAGGTGAAAATTTACGAGATATTGACTTATGACTGACGAAAAATTTTAGTGTACCAACGGTGAGTATGGAAATAACTTCAACTTAATTAAAAATGTTGACGACAGATTTTGATAGTAAATTTGGACCTTTTTAAATGTTTGCCAAAACTGTTGGTTAGTAGCAGTTACCTCAGTTCAAGTATTATTAATTTTTTATACACTCAACTACTAAAATTAAATAATATATGTTATCACAATAAAATATAAAAAATATAATAATCTTGAATTTTCTGTGTGCCTCCAGAACAAGAAAACAACAGGCAGGCTCTCAGGTATAAATTCTATTTCTAGAATCTTTGAATTTCATTTCTTGTCTATTTTCTTATTATTTTTGTATTATATGAGTATATGTTATTTAAAAAAAAAAAAAAATTCACATTCGATTAAGATTTGTGTGGAAAATAGGATAAAGATTATCGTGTTCACATGCTTGGGTTTTTATGTGGTCAAACAAATCATGACATTGGCAATTTGCTTTATCACAAAAATTTGCAGAAAATCTGACTTTCAGTACCTTAAGCCAACAAAATTAAAGCAAGTTGTATTGTTTTAACCATTTACCACTTTACAGTTGAAGTGGAGTTGGAGATAATCTACAATCATGATTATATACTAAGTTGTTTCATCTTAAATGGTTCCACCCGTTTTACTTTTCTTAATTAATAAAATTACAGATTATATTATACTATGAAATATCATATTTTTGTATATAATTTTTTTTTTTAAGATAAGACATTTCAGTTGGATAATATAAGTATGATCGATTAAGTCTACCTAGCCGCATCTTACTGTACTCTGATTAACATCCAAACCCAAACTTAAATACATAGAATTTATCACAAAATTGTTGGGAGGGAATTAGAACTAATTGAACTTAGTATCTCAAATTCAAAAAAATAAAGTAAAATAAGTTGCTTGGATAAGAGATTAACTTCTCATCTCAAGTAGCAACAAAATGGATACAAGATTATAAAGCTTTGTATCACAAATTCCCTTACATAAGGAATAACAAAATGCTTGGGGTTATAGGGCATTTACAATGATCTCCATCAACTGATATAAAACACACAACACCCACACACACAGAGTTTTCTCATCATATGCTAATTGCTAACTAGTTTTTTTTTTTTCTTTCATGCTACATATATAAACTCTCTTAGGCAACAAAAGAATGACCCAAGTCAAGGCTTTTCCCAAAAAAAAAAATAAAAAAAAATGTGTATATTTTCCCTAATTTTTTGTGTTTCTTGTCCTAAATCCTAATGCTATGCTACACGGCCGAACGCCAAATCCTTCCTTCGAACGAAATTATGATAATCGAGACATCGTCATGGTACCTCCTCCGGTCCCCTTGTGGGATGTCGAGCAATTCGTGAAAATCCAAACCTATGATCATCCAATTATTTCAACTAATTAATCTGACTTATTAAAACAGATCAAACTCGTATTCTAACACGCCAATTTTGATATGGAACCATCAGATGGCTTGACTTATGGAATCATCAACACTTATTCACCAATAGTGTATTGACACGTGTCCTACAATAAATACATTTGGACAAGTGTCAATATATTAAGTGGTAGATGGCTCCATAAATTTTTTGTCTAACACGCATTCGTTCTTTAGTAAAACTAGTATGAATCCCGTGCGGTGCACGGGTAAGAAATATTAATTAATATTTATAAATTAAATATGCTCATTATATAATATTTATAAAGTTAAAATATAAAATATACATGTAATGCATTTTACCTATAAAATTTAAATTGTGCAAATTTACATAAAACATGTTTAGTTAAAAAAATAATGAAGTAAAAAAACAATGGAAAAATGAATTCAAAATAAGTTATTTATTCTTATCTCCTCATCATGAAAGAAAATTTCCAAGTAGTTTTTGTATTCAACATCAAATTTATTTTCAATTGTTCACAACTTGATATGTAGTTTCTTAGTTCTAGTGACTTTGTTGATCAAACCAAATTCGCACTTCATCTTGAATTAAATAATAGATAAAATCAATACTTAGAATATTAAAAATGAAATCAAATGAAGGATAACAACAAATGATCGAAAAATGACTGAATTTATAAAGGAAAAACAAAGTATAATTTAGTTAAATTCCATAAATATTTTTTATATGAAAAGTATAAAGAAATTGCAATAAATCAATTTAAAAATTGTACAAATTCTTTAGTACACGATTTCTGTAATGTAAAACGTTTACTTTATTTAATACATTAAATTTTACTTTGTTTGACAATTATATTTTTAGTTAATTGTTAATCAAATTCTCATTTAATTTAAATGCGGTATAATTTTTTTGATTGGATGAAATTCAATTTAGAAATATTCTACTGTTGATCAGTTGGGATGTTACTAAATCCTATTAGTATATTACTTGTTGATCAATTACTGTTTGAGATGGACTGATTGTTATGGTATGATTGGGTATCTCAATTTTTTTTTTCGTTGTGGTTGTTAAGTTGTGTGAATAGTATTGTGTAATTTAATTAAATTGGTCGATTTAATACATATATATACCAAATAATTTGGTATATATATTTATAAAGAAGTATCGATCTTCTCCAGATTTTTCTTTCATTAATATCGAGTAAAATGCTTAGGAATATGGAAAAAAAATATTGAGATACTATTTCTTACCATAAGCCGGTATATTGGATCAATATATAGTATACTAAATAATTATATTTTATACTTTATCAATAAAATACAAAAAATGATAATTACTTTTACCACAATTTAATTGCCCAACGTAGAAAACAAAATAGAGACCCACATTTTTCATAGATAAAAATAAAAAAGACCCAAAAAATAGTTATTAAAAAATAATTGAAGTAAAATTGCAATTAACACAATTATCTTGGAACAATTTTATAAAAATTTATAATTGAAAAAATCAACAAAATCTATATGACCTGTGTAATTAGGATATCTTAAAAATGTAAATTTTATATTATTTGATTAATTATCCACAAGTTGAATAATTAAATACACAAAAAATGAATAACATTTATTAAGTAAATTAACAACTTTTTTTTCAAATCGCATAATTGATTATTGTTGTCAATATTTCCATAATTATAGTAATTATTTACAAAATGAATAAACCAGTTGGATTTACACAATTTGCGTAATTATTCAATATTAAAAATACATTTCATATGGTAACAGAAAAAATAATACATTCCATAAAAGAATTACACGAAAAATATAAAACACTTATTAAATAATAAGTTACACAATTTAGTTGAACTTTTTTAGCAAATCACATAATTAATATTGCATTCGAAATTGACATATTTGGGTAAATCATCCGAAGTAAAATGAGACGCAATTTTTATAAGTGATTATTTAAAATATACTATAAATTGTTAAATTAATTATTCAAAATATTAAATAGATTTTTTTTTTGGTGGAAAATATTTACTATTTAAAAAATAATCAAACCTTTATATAATAATAATAATAATAATAATAATAATAATAATAATAA